ACAGCTCTTCCCTGCATCGGGCTCTGTGCTGACAGCTCAGAGACTGGAGCTGCTTCAGATTCTGTGTCTCCTTCTCTCTCTGCCCCTCTCCTGCTCATGCTCTGTCTCTCTCAAAAAAAAAAAAAAAAACATTTTTAAAAAGCCTATTCAATGAAGAATATCAAATTAAAGAGTCACCATGTATAAGCAAAAGAGAGTGAGTAATGGATCCAAGATGGTAGCAAGGCCCCACAGGCAGAGGGCGAAGTACGTCAGACACATTTTCCACATGAGCTAAACTGGCATAAACCTTTACACCTTTGAGGGCTTTTCCCCAAGAAGTCTCTACTTTAGAAAGCGGATTCAAATGTCAGCTGCTGCACAGTGCTGCATTCAGACTCTGCATAACACACACGACCTTCCTGCATGTCCCCATGTCCCCGGATACTGGGCTCCTCCTGCCAGCAGAGACCCCCCCCGTGTCCCGGGGAGGAAGCATGCTTCCCTCCCAGTGCTCCAGGGCTGGGTGTAAACCTGACCTCCATCCCCCTAACCTAACCTTCCAGCAAGGACGGCCTTGCGGTCACCGCTCCCATGCCTGGACTTAGCACGGCTCCAGCAGCTCAGAACCCCAGCTCAGCCCTCACTCCACCCTGGTGCGGGGGGGCATCACTCTGGGTGTTGGGGACACTGCAATGAGCAAAGCAGACCGAGTCCCCATGCTCCTGGCGCCCTGGATGGGGACCTGGATGGTGAAGACTGAGGTTCAAGGGCTCTGAAGCAATGACTAAACGGGCACAGTCAGGCTGCCCGCTCAGGAGGCAGGCGCTGACCAGCAGGGCAGGGACCAGCCACCCTGAACCGGCTCTAAAATTGACTTTACCACCAGAGAGTACAAGTGTTTACGGCAGGGTGTGGATGGGATCTGCTTTACAAGAGTCTCTGAAACGCTGGTTTGGTGGGTTTCCTAGTGTGTGCTTAATTGTATTAAGTAGAATTCTCAAAATTCCACCAAATCTAAATCTTTATCTTAATGAAAGTAAGCTCCTAAAACTGACCAAAAATGCGTTTACTTACACATGATTTACAAATGGGATAAATGAAAAGTGAGCAGGATTAGGGACTGGGCGTTAAGAACTGTTCACTCACCAGGGTCAAATGTAAGCTGCATCTTGTCTTTACTTCTTCGATAAGAAAATTTCTCAGGCCATATTATGAAATAATAGCTGTGAACAGTCACTTAATGAGAGAAAAATTACTAGCAAGTGAAAATATTTCAGTTTGCATTGATTTTCTGGGACTGAGTAAATTTAATAGCTCAATAAATTATGCTAAAGCTCTTCAGTAACAGGCCAGGACAATTTTCACAAATTATTAAAACAAGAAGGCGTTTGTGGACTGGAGCCAGGATTTAAGAGCAGTCTGAGATCACCGATAACCAGTCAGCCTGACACTGACATATGGAGCGCCCTCATCACAGGCGAGCGGACAGTGGTGACCAAGGACCGGGTTTCTCAAGGATGCGGACGGCTGGGCGGTGCGGGAGGCGTGAGCACGGGTGCACACAGGCGTCAGCCCAGAGCGGGAAGTGCTGTCCTGCTCCCCCAGCTGTGTGGACACGAAATTCAAGACCTGCCCTGGTGCAGGGGGAGGGGGCCGACCCCGCTGCACCCAGAGTTCCACGACATGCAGCTCCTACCCGCTCACAGGACTCCCGGGGGAGGGACCCCATCAGCACGCAGGTGCAGAAGCCATGCTCAGCTCAGCCCCGGGGCCACGTCAGCTACAGGTGTTGGAAGAACACAGCACCCAGAGTTTTCTCTCCTCCTTCATGAAGTTGAGTGAATGCAGCTTGGGAAAAACAACATTTACTCCTCAAAAATCAGACTGAAATTTTGAAAAATTCTTAGAGTAATCTAGATATGAAAATATCTCAAACGTTTTTTAACAGATAATCCCAAGAATGGTTTACCCCGTTACCTATAGGACTGTGGTGGGAGGGACAATGTGGTCTGAGTGTGTTTTTAGAAGATACTGAAGTTTCATTCCTGCCAAGGTGAGGATGAAGGCTACACCCCACTCCAATCTGCTTAATCTTACTTTGGCAAAAGAAACAGTCTGAAATCAAACAAAACGAACTTTTATTCAGAAAACATGTAATAATTATTCATTCACTAGTCTCAGTTTAAAATTGCTAATTTTAGGGGAACAAAGGGATCTCATGGAATATTCAAAAGTACATACTCTCAGTTTCTTTCATACAAATCGTCAAATAAAACATTCCTGAATGCCACTGGAAACCAAAGGAAACCATGAGGCATTTCACATCTGGTTTATTTTAACACCGCTAACGAGGGTGGACAACTCACCATTCATTATGGGAGATCGATCACCTTACTGAGAACTCCAAGAGAATCCCCTTGGCTGCTGATGTAGATGCTTTGTAGAAGCCTTTAAAGCAGCACAGAAATACCAAGCAGTGGCTCCTACAGACAAAGCTGACTGCATCAGTGCAGGTCACAGTCCCACAGGCCCCTCCCTGGGCCACAAACACCCACCAGGCCCCTCAAGCCCCTCCCTGGGGCACACCCACCCCGGAGCCCCTCCCTGGGGCGCACACAACCCACAAGCCCCTCTCTGGGGCACATACACACCCCGTGAGACCCACCCTGGGGCACACGCACCCCACGAGCCCCTCTCTGGGTCATACACAACCCATGAACCCTTCTCTGAGGCACACACACCCCATGAGTCCCTCCCTGGGGCACACACCTCCAGCCCATCGAGCCTCTCCTTGGGGCATGCACACCCCGCAAGCTCCTCTCTCACACCCCACCTCCAGCCCATCGAAACCCTCCCTGGGGCACATATATTCCTCAAGTCCCTCCCTGGGGCGCACACACCCCACGAGCCCCTCCCTGGGGCGCACAAGCCCACTGGGAAACAAGGAAAGCACCTCCTGCCCAAGCATGTGGAGGCCCTGCATCTCCGCAGAGAAGGTGGCTGCTGGCAGAGTGGAGCTGGTGGGGTTGGGGTGGGGCCCCAAGTAAAGACAGGGGTGAAACCCCAGACTGCGACTGGGAGAGGGCAGAGAAGGTGCGAGAGGGAAGGGCAGGGAGCTGACCTACAGCAGGTCTCCAGGTGCACGTGTTTATGTACAGCCTCACGGAGGGCTGGTTCTGTGCCTGTGCTCTTAGCAGAAGGCGGACACAGCAAGGGGTCCTTGAAGGGGGTGTAGGGGTGTCAGGGGGGGCAAGGGTTCTCGCTGGGCAATGACAGAGCCGGGAGGCACTGACGGATAGGAGCAGCCACTGAGGCTGGGAGCATGGCTCTTGGGGGCCTCCTGTAACACCTCCCCAGGTCACCAGGCCCCTGTGACGCCATCACTGGGGGCGACAAGGACATCCACGGGGCACAACTGCAGCTGGCAGTGGACACAGCACGTTTTAGTTTTATGGGTATGCGTTTCCTTATGTGTTAGGGAGAAAATTCACAATTTTACCAGCATTATTGTTTAGAATGAAGCTAAAGTAGATATTTTCGCTTTCAGAAATGAAAGACATGTGAAGAAAGGTTCTTGAGGAGATAAGAGTGAGGCATACAGACAAAACAGATCATGAGGGGTGCACACAATGGAAATGAGGCGTCTGGCCACAGTCCACGGATCCTCCCTCATCACAGCACCTGGACCAGCACCGGAAACGTCAGAGCTGGACCATGAGGAGCCCTTCTCTCCCCCGTCTCCACCTGGCTGCGATGTCTACCACCCCGCCACAGGTGAACTCCCTCTGGGGGGGGTCAAGAATGACTAGGACAAAACAACTCGGCAGGATCCGAACTGTAAGAGAGACCATGGGGGACACCTGGGGGGCTCAGTCGGCTGAGCGTCTGACTTCAGCTCAGGCCATGATCTCACAGCTCACGGGTTCAAGCCCCACGTCGGGCTCTGTGCTGACAGCTCAGAACCTGGAGCCTGCTTTGGATTCTGTGTCTCCCTTTCTCTCTGCTCCTCCCCTACTCATTCTCTCTCAAAAAATAAACGAGAGAGAGAGTGCACCCATCAGTGCATGCGCACCATGGAGAAATACCTCCTGGAAAACAGACCCTTGTGCTGACATATGGTTTTCCTGGCCCCTGGATTCTTGCCACTGTGACCAGGCTGGGTCACATCTGAGCGCCTCACCTAGAGAAGAGGTGGACACTGGCCAGTGTGTGCACCCGTGTGACAACTCAGAACACGCTCTGTCTGGCCCTGGTGCTGGAGACTCCCAGGGAGACTCCCAGGAAGCACGTGGCCCCATGGGACCCCCACATGCCAGTCACACTCGATGCACTGGCCAACTGTGATCGGGGCCAAATGAAACAGGTACCATTACCTCAAATGTAAAGTTATTTAACGCCCAATATTCTTGTCCTTCCACTAACACTTTTAATTTCCTAAAGACTCTCCCTAGGGAAATATTTCCAACATGTCACAGCCCTATTTAAAAACCCAATATTAACAGCATCACGAACCATTGCTTCCACTTTGCCTATAATTACAGGTGATACATGCTCTTTTTGAGACGAGAGAAGCTCCTTCTATGAGTAGACAGTCCACACACTCAAGGCCTTTGTGGGAATCTATGCTGGTGAGCCCCCTTTCTTCTACCAGCTTGCTGCTTGCTGCGAAGCAGGGTTCACGACTGTGACAAACACCACGTACAAAATGCACATGACCTCATCAGGTCAGAGTCTCCCCAAAGACCTGCTCTTCCCTCTGCCCTCTGACCGCAATGACCCCGGCAGACCAGACCACCGTATGCGTGTGGCCAGTAAACCTGCAATGCAGGGCAGCCGTGGAAGAAAGCACACGGGACACAGGGCACCCCAAGCCCCCATTAATTCTGTTTTCCCCTCAATGCCTCCCCATGCTCCTTGGCCATCTGCACCATTGCTGGAAGCGCTTAGATACTGTATGCCTGTCACCTCAAAACCCAGGCCATCAAGTGTCATCAAAGTGGCTTCTGAAAAAGACTTACCTTGACCACGTAATTGAACCTCCGAATATCCTGAATTGCACTGGAGAAGTCTAAGCGATTAAAAGCCTCTCCCAAAGTACAATAGCCATGCCTCTGGAAAACAGACACAAAACAGTTGAAATCCATAATCAGTCAATTAGTCAAACTAAACCGACAGTTACTGTGAATGAGTCTGTGCAAAATTGTTTTTTGAATTTTGGAAAAGGGCATTTGTTTTTATGATTTATTCCATACTCAGATGAACGTGGAATAAAACAGCAATGCTAAATGGAAATCATTTATAATCAAGACCTGACATACCACCATTTTTACACCACTGCTGATACAGACAAATATTAAATTGCTTGTTGACTTCTGCTGGGACTCGTAGGGGAGTGAAGCCACGATGCAAGGTGTCTGTGAGGCTCCTACCTCTGCCAGGCTCGTGTGAAGACCTGCAGGCTACAGATGCCCGTGCAGAGGCGCCCAGTCACCCTGCAGGGAGCCCTGCACCCCGCAGCCCCGGAAGGCATCCGGCCACACAGGACCGAGGACAAGGCCCAGGGCTTTGGGGGACCCTGTGCAGTTATCAGGTGGGGGCAGGGGACATCGGGCACCGAAACCCAGCAGCTGGTCATCAGACCTACACGGCCCAGGGTCCAAGGAAACAGGTGAAACACAGATTGTTTTCCAGGCCCGAAAGCACTGCTGTGTAGCCAGCTGTTTGCCCTCACAGTGCGCCCTACACTCCACAACCTGTACACACTCATACCTTGGGTTTCAGGAGTCAGTTCTACTTGATCTTCTGTATCTGAAGTACTTGAGACTATCAAGATTTTCATTTCATAGCTGTGGAGTTAGATGAGCTGCTGATAACCCTAGAAACAGGAGGTGACACACTCTCCCTCTCATCCTAATGGGAGGCGGGATGGGACTGGCAAAGCAGCATCTGATGAAAGACGCTCGGCAAAGGAGGATTTGGTTTTGTGTCCAAATCCCAAGATTAGTCCTAATGTGTCACAGACAACACTTGTTATTAATGAATACCCGCTACATGCACAATATTTTCCTGGGAGCTGTGCAGGAAGCAAAGGGTAATTATAGATTATAATCTGAAATCAATCACTGCTGATACTTTCATGTTAATGCCTTTCTCTTCTCAATCAACACAACTCTAAATGCCTGTGTGGACACAGACTCCTTTCCAGGTAGCCACCATGTCACAATGGCCTCTTCTATTTGGGGAATCAAATCTGATTCACAGACTGCAGAACCCATGTTTGGACCACGTGAGCCCACCCACCCGTGTGGGGGCCCAGAAACACATGTGGAACCACAAACGGGCTGTGGGGCAGCCGCAGCTGTCCACAGTGATGAGCAGCAGGTACTAAAGGTACGGATGTACGCCGCAGTGCAGGGAGCGGGGCTGGCTCTCAGTCGTGATGCCTCACCCTCCTGAGACTGGCTGTGTCCCTATTCAAAGGGTCCATGCAACACCTCTGCAGACTCACAATAAACTCCCCTTGTTGTTTGTGCTTTCCCAAACGGACCTGTGTTCTGTAGTCAGTGTGGTAACACAGAGCAAACGAAGTAAGAAGCTCAAGCTAGATTCTGCCACAGGCTCTTCTGATGGTGTCTCACTTAGAGGGGGCATGAGCTGAGGGCTGTCTCAGACCACGCGCGACAGTATGAACTAGTACCCAATAGGTACAGTGCGTCTTCTTAAGAAGCCAACCTGGAAGGTTCTAGGGAGCTGGGCTAGTTTCAGGACATCCACTAACAATACCTCTGGAACATTTAACCTAAATATATGCTACACACCTGCTCCCTACGTTATTCTCCCCACTGTGGCAGGATGGGGCAAATGTAGCGTCTAAGAACGCAGAAGGAAGGAGGCTTCCCTGGATACTAAATGGAAAACGGAGGCAGAACTGAAGTCAACTGTTGACGGCTCATGAAAAAGCTGCCGTCAACTAGACGAAGACTGGAGGGACGAGGCTCACCCTGCTCCTGCAGCTCAGACTCAACCACAATGTCATGCTGGCACTCGACGCAGGGGCGGGGGGCACCAAGGCTCGCACCAGCCACAGCACACGACGGCAAGGACACATCCCACCAGCACCACCGGGTCGCAATTAATGGCTTCTTGGGAGTCATGGGGAGAAAATGTCAAACTGTCCGAAGGTCCATACTTGTTTTGAAATAGCCCTTCTGTTGATTTAGATTTGTACTGGCACTAACCACACACTGCACATGCACAGATAGGTACACACATGTGCGCGAGCACACACACACACACGCGAATCACGGCTTCAAAGATCCTAGGTTTCACCTACTGGAATGTGAATCACAGATTTCATACGGCAAAAGGAATCATTTATTTAATAGGACATTACGTGTTCAACAGAAACAATACCAAACATACTCTTATTTGTAACAGAATACTTACTTCTCTTGTGCTTTCTTTATGGACATAGATCCATTTCTCACGATAAAAACCTAGAATAAAAATTAACTTTGTTTTTAAAATCTGGCAAATCATCCAAAATGAAGATTTTTAAGGAGTTTCAACAGTTGTACGTGCTAACAAACTTATCTGACTTCATCACAGAGATAAGAGATGCTTTCACTTGGTTAAATGTAAACAGAACTGCTGTGTCCAAAACACCTTTCCATGAAAAATGACTTAGGACAGCACCAAGTCTTAGTAACTTAGAAGAAAGCTAGCGTCTTAACAACGGCAGTAATAGCAAAACATAAATGACTATAAAAATGTGATTATTAATTCTCACGTATCCTAATAAAAATTTTTCTTCTATTGCCTTTTTCACAGACCTCAAATCCCAAAGCTTCAAGGCCTGCAGTGACTCGGATCTGTAAGCCCCAATCTCGGTCAGTAGCCTGATTACCCCCAAGCTGTTCTCAGGCCTCCAGCCGTGCTGTCACGTAGGTGAGTGACCGCCACCAGGCCCCCCGGCCCCCGCCCAGCCTGCACACTTCTGGGTGTTCCTAACCCAGCTCTGCCCAGGGTCTCCTGCACACAAGTCCACACTCAAGATGCCCTGCAGTCGGGCCTCCTTGCTCAGGAGTGAGCTGGTGGACTGAACCACGACCACGCTCAGGCATTCAGACGTCCGAGCTGTTCTGTGGACTTTGCTATCTTTCGTTTTTGCAAATCTCACTAAAGAAATGGTTAAGCTGTGAACAGTCTGAAGACTATGTCAGTGGGTAACACTGGATATAGCAGTCATTCATATATCATCTCTTGTTTTTAAAGACAGCAGCATCGAATCCATTTAGTATATTGATATAGTAAACAAAAAAAATTCATAACATTGTTAATAAAAGTGATCTTACATTGAGTATTTGTATCATTTCTAAAATGATCCTTTTTCCTCTTTTTGGATGTGTATTCCTGCTCTTCATTAGTGAATATTTCTTCATCGTCACTATTTAAGATACTGAAATAAAGACACATTTTATTAGATACTTTTACAGGAATTATCTTCATTTTCTTCTTTTATTAGAAAAAAAAAGATATTGATTTGCAATTCAGGAGACCAAAATAAAAATCATGTTAAATTCTGAAAGCAAGGTAATTTTTAAAGCATATCATAGGTTTGAACTTACAAGGCTAATGCCTCGTGTATTTTTTGATTTGAGAAATCTGAGATTTACCCTGGTTATTTTGAAAATGTGCTACCAGGAAGTGCTGAACATGTTTCAGACTCTTCCTTGCTCAACCAAGGTAGTTTCAGACTTCAGAGCACTTTACTACAACACAGAGATCATAAACAAAACTACAAACACTCTGGAGAAATGGTAACGGGGACATAGGAGGCCCAGCACTGACGCAGGACTTGCCATTTCCCTGATGCAGCATTGAGGGTACACACTCAACGCAGCTGTTCACCTCTTAGACGTTCCAAGACTTAGCCAGAACCACTACTGCACAGGGGCTTTTTCTTAGTGTGTATCAGCCACACAGCACTGTCAGGGCACTTAACTGAGGCCAGGTGATGGAAAATGTTCCTTTTTCCCATTTAAAAACATCTAATTAAAAGCTTTCCCAATTTTTCTTCTCTTTTTGGCTAAAACACAGAAACAAATTTTAAGGTAGTAACCTAACAACCTTTTCTTTAAAAAGATAATATATAGTTATAAGAAAATAACACAAAAAGCAGTCCACCTCCTCAGAAGTAAAGATGTACACAGTTTTCATTTTCAACATACTGGCACTGGGTTGTTTCGGTCTGCAATCGGGGAGAGGCTGCTGGAGAGGAGGTGAGCTGGCTGGCGGAGGTCCGGGCTGTGGCCCGAGCTGAGGGCTAAGGCTGCTGCTTCCCCAGCATGCTGGGCAAGAAGGCTGCACGAGGCTCCTTCCACCAGCCGCTGCATGTGCCAAGGGAATCTACTCATCACAGTCGACGTGGACTTAAACCTCACTGACGATAGTTCTAAGTCACCGAGACAAGCACAAGTGTGTTTACAAAAACATGTACAAGCTTCCCATTCAGCGCAGGCGTAAACAACACCAGCTCGTGGAAGCTGGTCGGTCCTCGCGGCTCAGCTTCATTCTCACACTGGCTGCTTGTCGTTGATTCAGATCCTGAACACAGAAGCTTTCAAAGCTGAACAGCTTAGCTTCTCTTACTACAATCTCAACCACACCAAGGAAAAGCAGACAGCTGTTGTTCTCTACAAAGTGTGTCCCAGGACTGACAGAGGCCGCACGTGGGGAGCAGAGGAGGCAGGCCTGGGTGGCACCCCAGATCCCCCCCCCCCCCGTAGGGAGGAACGGTCCCATTTCATTTGCGGGACACGTGGGCAGGACTGGCTGCGTGAGCAGTGTCCTTCCAGCAGGTGGACCACAGGTGTGGACTGGGGCCCCTGAGGCCCCCACACTAGTGCACATGGAAGGTGGAGTCAATCCACTTGGCTGTGCGGCTCAGGCCCCAGGGACTGCACTAGACACGGCACCACCCACCATGTCTCACACCTCCTAGGATGGCCACTATAAAACAGCCAGAAAACAACAAGCGTGGACAGGGACACAGAGAAACCAGAGCCCCCTGTGCTGGTGGGAATGAGAAAGGGCAGCCTCTTTAGAAAACACATATTTGCAGGGATTCCTCAAGAACTAAGCACAGAACCACGGGCCAGCCCAGCAGTACCCAAACGATGAGAGAGCAGAGTCTCCGGGACAGTCCGGAAGCCCACACTCGTGGTGGCTGGAAGGTAAAACCACTCGTGTCTGTTCACAGGTGGATGGACAAGCACAACAAAACATGATCCATACACAGTGCAGCAGCATTCGGCTTAAAGCAGAAGGAACTTCTGGCACAGCCTGGAACGTGGGTTAGTCCCGAGGGCATCACACTAGGCGAAGCAGGCTGGTCATAAAAGGACAAACCCTGAGTGATTCTGAGTCTCTGAGAGACACGGGGCTGTGGAACCCACAGTCAGAAAGCAGAGTGCACCCGCTGGGCTGGGGAATCATTTCCTAGGGTCCCAGCCTCTGTCCCTCAGGAGGAGCGGTGAGGGCGTGGGACAGCTGCCCAGCCTCAGGAACACCAGGCCACCACACTCCCACCCTCCCTCCACCCACTTCTCCGCCCCTTCACCACCTCCGATGACTCACTGTAAACCCCAGCTGCGACGTGACTACAGGAGCCGAATGTCAGGAAGATCCCCGGTCCCACTGTGACTGGTGTCTTCAGGAATGAGCTCCCGCCAGCCAGGGACATGGGGTACCTGGCACACCCCATCACCGCGGCTCCCATCACCTGGACAACTCTGCATGTCCAACCCGGAAGCCCATCTGGAAGTGCACCTGTGTCACGGACTCCCTGCCCTCCCTGATTCACCGTCTTCCCCCAAGCGCCTATTTACTGTGAGACCCCGCCTTCCCCTGAGCACCCGGATCTACCGTGCGTCTCCGTCCTCCCCCGAGCACCGCCAATCTACCCCGCGCCCCGTCCGCCCCCGAGCGCCCACACCGGCCCCGCGCCCCATCCGCCCCGAGCGCCCACGCCTACAGTGCTCACCCTGTCTGTCCTCGAGCACAATATAGATTTACAGTATTCAAGGTAACATGTCTTTTTTCTCCGATCCCACTGCCTGAAACGAGAACCTCACGAACTATAAACCAGGCAAGTCCGCTGTTGCACTGGGCTGATTAGAGGCCCTTCAAACCACGTCCAAGTGCGGACTCCCGCACCTGCAGTCGAGACCCTAACCGTCCTCAGGAAGGTTGTGTGCCCCTTGCTCTACGTCTTCTTCCTCTAGTGGGAACATCCGTTTGCTTGATGTTGTCCAGGAGACCCCCTAACCTACCCTGTTTTGAAAAGTCATTTTCTCCATGAACAGACACTTCTCCAAAGAGGACATCCAGATGGCCAACAGACACATGAAACGAGGCTCAGCATCCCTCCTCATCAGGGAAATACAAATCAAAACCACTGAGATACCACCTCACTCCAGTCAGAGTGGCTAAAATGAGCAAATCAGAGAACTCGAGATGCTGGCGAGGATGTGGAGAAATGGGCACCCTCCTACACTGTTGGTGGGAATGTAAACTGGTACAGCCCCTCTGGAAAACAGTGTGGAGGTTCCTCAGGAAACTAACAATAGAACTCCCCTAGGACCCAGCAATAGCACTGCTAGGAATTTACCCAAGGGATACAGAAATGCTGAGGCATAGGAGCACATGTACCCCAATGTTCATAGCAGCACTCTCCACAATAGCTAAAACATGGAAAGAGCCTAAGTGTCCATCAACGGACGAATGGATCAAGAAGATGTGGTTCATCTATACAATGGAATACTACATGGCAATGAGAAACAACGAAATCTGGCCATGTGTAGCAACATGGATGGACCTTGAGGGTGTTATGCTGAGCGAAATAGGTCAGGCAGAGAAGGACAAATATCCTATGTTTGCACGTATAGGAGGATTAGGAGGAACTTGACGGAGGAACAAGGGGGAGAAGAAGGACGGAAATGGTGGGGGAAAAGGAGAGAGGCAAACCATGAGAGACTCTTGAATGCTGACAAAAACTGAGGACTGATGGATGTGGGGGGGGGATGGGCATGGAGGAGGGCACTTTGGGGATGAGCACTGAGTGTTATGTGGAAACTAATTTGACAATAAACTATTTGTAAAAAAAAAAAAAAAAAAGAAAGAAAAGTCATTTTCTCTTGCTGTTCCCCAGGGGTGTTTTCCATTCCCGTCTTCCAGGTGGGGGCGCCCTTCTGCAACCGCCCCTCCGGCGCGGGGCCCTCCAGGGAGTCGTTAGTTCCATTTCTGTAGTCTTCACTTCTGACTGGTGTTTACATTTCCTGCCTCTGCTGAAGGTCTCACCGAATCCATCCTCCCTTCTCTCCGGCTGGGTGAGCACATTTGTGGCTGTTACTGTCGAGCCCTCATCAGGAGCACTGCTTACTGCTGTTTCATTTAGTTCTTGCACCAAGGTTTTGTCTTGTTCTTTCTTTTGGAGCATATTCCTTACTCTCCCCGTTTGGTTGACTTTGTGTTTATCTTCCTGAATTAGGCTCCTCGTCCTAAACTTGAGGGAATGGTTCTGTGTGAGGTCATCCCCTGTGTAGACTGCGTGTCTGGTGATGCTGGCGGGAGCTGGGACCGGTGTGGGCTGGGGTCGCAGGGCTCTCTGAGCGGGGGCTGCCCTGCAGGATGACCAGAAATGGCAGTGGACTGTAAAAGCCCTGAGGTTCCCCATGCAGCAGGGGCCCTGAAAAAACAGCTGAAGCGGGTGTCAGCCAGGGTCCCCCAGGCTGTGCACAGCTGGTAGGGCGCCCCGGCAGAGTGGCCAGGGTCAAGGTGGGGTGCAGAGGGTCCTGGGGGCTGCGAGAGCAGAAGAGGGTGCCAGCTGAGGTGGTCCCCGGGCTTTCCATGCAGTGGGCATCCTGACCAGACAGCTGAAGGTGCAGTGGGTATAGGCTGGGGTGTCCCAGGGTGCTAGGTGCAGGGGGTGCCCCAGTGGGGTGGCTGGAGCCAAAGCAAGCATCAGCTGGGAGGCCCTGGAACAACCTGGCTGGCGTCAGAAGCCAAAGTGATGCCGGTCTGGAGCCTTCTGGGATGCTCTGTGCAGGGGGAGGGCTGCCGGTGCAGGCCCAAACACTGGGCCAGTGAGGACTTCTGGGCCCCACCCCCGCCCACATCTCCAGGTTGGGGGAATGCAAACCTCAAGGGTCACGGCTTCTCAGACCCAGAAAGTTCCAGCAGCTCCCCACTGTTGAGTGAAATTTTAAGGATGATTCTTTTATAAACTAGCTCATCTTTTAAACTGCACCTTTTTTCTGAGCCCAGAACGAATGTGCTTCAGGTCCCTCAGTGCTATCCCTCCCAGCTGTGTTTCACAGCCTTGGGGGTGGGGTCCCTTCCTACCAAGTCTCTCTCTGTGCCTTCTCTGTACAGTCTCTATCTTCCATTGTGCAGAAG